TTTGCGAAAAGCAATGCAGTAGAACAGATAGTGGTGCAAACACTTAAGCCCCTGCGGGAGCGGTTGAGAGTCGAGCAGGTTTGCGTAATAGAGAAAGACGCCGACGACTGGCGTGCACCACTGTTGTCTTACTTGCAAGATCCAAACCAGGCTGTTGACCATGCCGTCAAGTTTATAGCAAGGAGCTACGTAGTCTTGGATGGGACCTTGTATAAACGCAGACCTGATGGATTATTGTTGAAATGCTTGGGGGGCAGGGAGGCATTGCAAGCCATGGCAGAAGTGCATGAAGGAATATGCGGAGCTCACCAAGCTGGTCCTTCCATGCGATGGATTCTACATCGCTATGGATTCTACTGGCCCACCATCGGGCCAGATTGTGCCGCATATGCCAAGGGCTGCGAAGCTTGTCAACGTCACGGTCCTGTTCAAAGAGCGTCGGCGGTTGATCTGAAGTCCATAATCAAACCGAGGCCATTTTATGGTTGGGCCATGGATTTGATTGGTATGATTTATCCCCCATCGTCAAAGAAACATGTGTTTATAATCTTGGCCACTGACTACTTCACTAAGTGGGTGGAGGCCAAACCGTTGAAGGTGGCAAACCAAGAGGAAGTGATTTCTTTCATACAAGAACATATTGTCCACCGATTTGGTTTGCCAGCAACGATAACGGCGGACCAAGGAACTGTGTTCACTGGGGGGCAAGTTATGGAGTTCGCGGCGGAGCGGGGGATAAAGATCATCCATTCCACGCCGTATTACGCACAAGCTAATGGACAGGCGGAAGCATCCAACAAGGTCGTGAAAAATATTTTGACAAAAATGATTGAGGATAATCCACGACGTTGGCATGAAATTTTGTCAGAAGCGTTGTGGGCATACAGGATGTCCCCGCGGAGCAGTACGAGAGTGAGCCCATTCTCGTTAACTTACGGTCATGAAGCATTCCTTCCCGTGGAGGTGACCGTCAACTCACTCCGGTATATGAAGCAGCACGAGTTAACACCTCAGGAGTATCATGAGTCGATGATGCTTGAGCTCTGCGATCTTGATGAACTTCAACTCCGCGCCCTCGATAATGTTCAAGTACAGAAGGCAAGAGTGGCAAGAGCTTATAACAAGAAGGTTCGGCACAAATCATTCGAGGAGGGCGAACTGGTTTGGAAAGCTCACTTGCCGATTGGAGAAAAAGATCCCAAGTTTGGAAAATGGTCGCCAAATTGGCGTGGACCATTCGTGGTGCATTCTGTGCGTCCTAATGGAGCATACTTGCTGAAAGACTTGGATGGAGTGATGCATGAGCGTCTGATAAATGGCAAATATTTAAAGCCATATGTGCCGTCCCTATGGGACGTAGCTGGTCATTAATTTAAACAATGACGAACAACCATGTGCTAAAAGGGAGTGGCTTGGTCGGCCACCAAGCTTGCACAATATGGTTGAATAGTATGCGATTGGCGAAGTATGCAACAAATACACCAATTCGCCAACTCAGTTACTAATAAAGAAAGTTTTTTTTTTTTAATGCCTTTAAGGCCAGCGGCAGGGTTCACTCGAGTCCAGCCGGGGCGGTACCGCTGTTCGGTACCAAAATGGTCCAATCTTATCCAGCGAAGCCGTTTTTGCCACGAGAAGTAGGCATGGTTAACAGTGTTGTTTGGCATAGACGATTTGGTACTTGGCATAAGAGAAAAATTAAGAATGCTATCGTGACTAGAACGAGCCAGTCGGCCATACTCAAACACCATCGCGGAAGGTCAAGCAATGCTGCGGATTTACTTAGACGCCAAAAAAGAGTCTCAAATCAAGCACGGCTGAAGTGGTTATGGCGGGACGGTTTCTGGCCAAAGCCGAGTTGCAAAGCACTGCAACAATGTTGTTTTCTTGACTCTGCGCCGACGTTGTTGTGATCACAAGGTTGTTGAGGGATGAGAGTGAAAATTCGGAGTTGTTGGTGATATATGTATGTTTTGACCAATTAATGAAAAGTTGTGGTCAAAACGTCAATGCGAACTTCGGTGGAATGAAAACAAAGGTGTTGCGTTGTTGTTTATTCAAAACAGCATTGTAGTGCTGCGACGACGTGGTTGGGTTTGCAAGACTGAAACAAGAGAGGAAAACAAAGCCAAGTCTGTTGGTTTTATTTTATAAATAAAAAAGTATATTATAATAAAACACCAGTGTTAACGGAAAGCAATGGCGTTTGTCTCACAACTCCTTCTTTTGGCCGAAATTAATTTTAAATAATTAACATATCCGTTTGAGCCAAAACAGCGTTGTTGGGGTGGGCCGCAGAGTTGCGGGAGGAAAGAATCTTTGAGTAAGAGGTTTTCGCAAGCTCAGCAACGTTGGCGGGTTCACGTGTTTTAAAAAAAAAAATGGGCCTAAACATTGTAGGGGACACACAACAGCGCTGTTGACACAGAAGAAGGAAAAAGCAAGACTGAGTTGTTTGGCACCGAACAACACCGTCGGGACAAGATAATTTCGTTTCTGTTTTGGAAAAGCATGGACAAAACGCAGCAGCTTTGGACAAACAGGTTTGCTGATCACGCTTACAAATTCCAATTTTATTATTATTGAATGTTTCTTTTTATCCCTGGCAACGGTGCAAGCATGCAGCTAAAATTTTGGGTGGCCATGTAAGGATTGCCATGCTTAAGAAATCGTCTTCTTCTACTGTTTGTTTTATTAGTGAATTATTTTAGGTGATTGATATTGTGTCAATAATTTGGTTCATAATGCTTATAAACCAAATTGTGGGGGGCATTTGTTGACACCTAAAATTAATTTGTCCTGAATTAAATGCCGCATTAATTAGTCTCGGCGTTTAATTCGACCACGCAGGACAAAAAAGGTGTCGTTTGGAGTTGAGCGGCGTCGCGGAGAGTTGAAATGGTACCGCGAAACAGGAAAACGGTACCGCAAGGAAGCTCACCGGTACCGCGACACTGGAAACGACACCGTTTACCGGGAAGCAAGATGTGGGCCGCGCGTTTGGTATTGGTGTTGGAAAAGGAGTTTGATTATTATTATTAATTGTTACCTTTATTCCTTGTCGGAAGGGGAAAATCGGTACCGCATGGAGAATTAAAACGGTACCGCAAGGAAGCTCACCGGTACCGCAAGGAAGCTCGTCGGTACCGCGGCATGGGAAACGACACCGTTTAATGAATAAAAAAAGGGGGTTACGCGTGTAGTTGGGTTGGAGAAGGGAGTTTTATTCCTTTATTCCTTGTAGGAAGGGGAAAATCGGTACCGCATGGAGAATTAAAACGGTACCGCAAGGAAGTTCAGCGGTACCGCGGCACCGGTCACCAGAAAATAAAAAAAGGGTCGTGCGTTTAATGAAGGTTGGAGGAGAAGTTTTGATTATTTAATTATTATTTTTATTCCTTGTTGGAAGGGGAAAATCGGTACTGCATGGAGATAAGCGGTATCGCGGAGAGCTAAAACGGTACCGCGGATTTAAAAACGGTGTCGCGAGAGCCTGGTAAGCGGTACCGATTAAATAAAAAAATCATATCGGGCAAGTGACCAAAATTCACCCGGCCCAATGCGAGCGCCGACTGCGGCGGTTCCATGGATTAATATTTTTTGGCTATACGGTACCGCGAGTAAGCTCAACGGTACCGCGGATTAGCAAACGACAGTGTTTAAATAAAAAAACAATGTCGCAAAAGGGAAAAACAAACGGAGTTGTTGTGACGCTAGTGATGTCGTTGGCCATAGCTAGTGATGGACGGATTAATTAATTAATATTATAATGGCTGTTTAGGACGGTGTCGTTTAGTTGAAAACGATGCCGCAAGAGGAAAGAAACGACACCGCGGATTATAAATCAATACCGCAAGTAGGCCAAACGATGCCGCAGCAGTTAAAACGACAGTGTTAAAATTAAAACAATGTTGTGAAGCTCAACGACATCGCGGGACAGGGAAACGATGTTGTTTAATTAAGAACTACGCCGGGATGAGAGTTTGACGGCGAGTTAACAATGAGGCTGAGTAATTAATTAGTATTTTATGGGTGTTTAAAGACGGTGTCGTTTAATGAGAAGCGATGTCATGGAAAAGTAAAACGACACCGCGACAGTGGTAAGAGTTCAGCCGAAGGCAGCCTGCCAAGCCTAACGACGTCGCAAGAGTATAGAATGACATTGTTTGATGGACCAACAATGTCGTTGGTTAAACCGGGCCGGGGCAGTTGAGTTGGATCATAAAACGGCATCGGTTGGTGAAAGGCGATGCCGTGGTATTGGTGAATTACATGGACAAAGTGGTAAGTCGTTTCGCCAAGTTTCTGCAAAGCAAGAGCGGTTTCGAGGGCACGTGATTAGCACGCAACAAGGAGGAAGTTACCTGCACGGTTGACAGGAATGAAGACGTGGGAGACAAAGGCGCCAAGACAGTTACCACGACGGGGAGAAGCGCGAAGTATAAAGATTGGGAAGAGAGAGAGACTCAAGAGGGCAAAATCAAATCACAAACTGCACCTACGCAGATTTATCTTTTTCTCTCTAGTTCGTAGAACTTCTCTGTCAAAGACCTCCTTTGCAGAGTCGTAGTAGTCGTAGTCGTAGTTGCGGAGCTCTCCAGAGGAACCTCCATAGGAGTAGAGGTAACGTAACTTAGAACACTCCCGGTTTGGTTTGGTTTCTCGTTGAACACCCTCGTTCGAACGTAGTTTGGAGAGGTGGTGAACCGAGTAACGGTTGTTTGATTAGAGATCAAAGGTGCATCGATCAAATCAACGACGCCGATACCGGCGGCGGATATTTGACGATCGTCTTGGTTTCTACCTTAATCGATCAAATCAACGGCGCCGACTTCGGCGGCGGATATTTGACGGTTTTTGCTGACTTTGGTTTTTTGTTTCCTTGAAATTAGAGCGCATTGAACGCACGAGTTTCGCCAACGAAACAGCTAGTCACATGCTTTTCCCATGATTCTCCCTTAATGATTACCTCCTTCTTCCCGTGACAACTCATCTCGTTGTTACGGCATCTCCTGGTGACGACTAGCTGTGGACCTGTGGTCAGATCTCCTCCTCCAATACATCGTGTCATTGACGATCAATCCAGCCTCCGCATCGCACCATCTTAGAGATCTTCCTCTCACCGACGCCATGATATGAGAGGCACCTTTAGGATTCTCTCTACACTGGTTCTCGCCAACAATCAAGCTACTACCATGCGTGGCCTCCCGATTGCTATGGCGGAGACCCATTAGTCGAGGAAATCCTTACTGCCCCTGGTGGAACTTCATTTTCTTAATGATAGGAGTCCAACGGGGGAGGATCTCGAGCTCGTTCTCCTGTCATTGTCATCACCGCGGCTGGGGTTGCGGGAAGTGATGGGAAGAAGGTTTTGAGCGGCGATCGTACGTGCTGAAATGTAAGAATGTAAAAAAAAAAAAAAGATGTAAAGGTTTAGCGGCTGGGGGTCTTTAGGGTTGCTCGCTTAGTTTTATTATTAGTTTAAATATGGGTATGAGAAGGGTAATCCGGGTACTTCATAAACATGAGAAAACTGGGTGTTACATAAAAAATATGAATTAAAAAAAAAAAGAATAAAAACAGAGGAGAGGGAACGATTCATTAAGAAAAAAAAAAAAAAAGTATATCCGAGAGTTTTGGGGAGGGCGTAGAGACGGGAGCAGATCGGGTGAGTTACTGATGGGTCAGTAACCCATCAGTAACCCCTTCTCTTGCCCCCACGTGTCAGTCACTTTTTTATTTAAATTAAATGCGAAAAGGTAGTAAGGTAAAATTGCACTTATCCTTATTTATTGCTGACGCTGACATTTGACTGGACCACATCAGTACATACTTCTCTTTCTTCGAAAAACCTTTAATTTTGCTTCTCTTAATTTTTAACGGACGATTTCTCACTCGTTTTATGTCGGAATTTATTTTATTTTTTTTCACAGTTGGATCAGATTAATTGTGCTCTTCAAAATGATGTCTACTTTGATATTTTTTTTTACACAAAAAAATTCCCGGTTATTACGAGTCTATACCATATGGTATTGACTGGTATTAACTAAGAGAATACCATATGGTATGAATTTGCCACATCAATATATATTTCGTGACCACCCAATATCATATGGTATAGTGTGGTAATATCAATATATATTTCGTTACCACCCAATATCATATGGTATAGTGTGGTAATATCAATATATATTTCGTTACCACCCAATACCATATTGTATATTGTGGTAATACCAATATATATTTCGTTACCACCCAATACCATATGGTATAGTGTGGTAATACCAATATATATTTCGTTACTACCCAATACCATATGGTATAGTGTGGTATATCAATATATATTACCTAAAAGAAAAAAAAAACAGAAGGAGGGAGAAAAAAAACTCATCTTTTATCTCCTTTTTTTTTTTTTGACAATTCATCTTCTATCTCCTCTGCAATCAAGAACACCAAAATGCCAAAAAAAGAAGAAAGATCAGAATTGAGGCCAACGATTTGATTTGATTAAGAGAAGAAATGCAATGAAAGAGGGAGGCTGCAATTTTTTTTCGTCGATTGCTGAAAAAAATGAAGAAGAAGAAAAGGGAGTAAATCTAGATCAGGAGAAAAAGATTGGGAGAGAAAAAGGAAGAAAGAAGGAAGAGAGAAACAGAAAGAAGAGTTGCAGATAAAAGACTATTTATCTCTCCTTCATTGAAAAGCCAACTATTAAATGCTGGATAAATTAAAAAAATTCAAAAATTTAAAAATGGACAAAATTACCCCTCTTCTTCCCCGCATCCAGCCAAACCGCACGATGAGTTGGGCTCCTAGATCTGCGGCCCGGATTTATTAATGACAAGTCAGTAACCAGTGGTTACTGACTGTATCCCTAGCCCTTAGAGACCGACGTGGAGAAGGGGTTTTTGAGAAACTCCCTTATATATTTTATAGATAGATAGATAGACAATTCCAACAAGAAAAGTCGGCTTCATAAAAAAAAATTGATATTATTTATACAATGAACTCAATTTTTCATTTAATAATCTTCAAAATGTAAGTTAAAACAAACAAAATACAAGTCAATTAAAACAAGGGAATCTCTATATTACATTTTAAACTCATATATTGTATAACCTGAATTCCATAAAAGCTCAATTATAGACCCTAAATTTTCTATCCTAAACACCAAAATACTAAAAATGAACCTTAATACAAAAAATATTAACCTTTCAACAAACCTAAAACATGAAACCGCTCAAACCTAAATCGCAAATTCTAATTCCTAACCCTTGAACCCCATAAAAACTAATACTTTAAACATTAATCACTAATTCTTAGATAATTTCTGACATCTCACTCTAATATCGAAACCCCTAACACTAAAATATAACCACCTAAACTTGAAAGCCAATCCCTAACCACAAAAAAAAATTAAGGCAAAATATACTTGTATAGCCAAAACTTTCACGTTTGTACCAATAATATCCAAATTTGGACAAATACCACTTATAGCCACTTCCGTTCAATTCTTTAACGGTGTTAACGTTAAGTGTGAATGGGCAAACAGAAAGGAATACGTGGCGAGCTCTTATTCCTCTTTTTTCTTCCGTAATTGTCCACGTGGAAAATGATTAATTAAAAAAATTAACGGAGCAAAAAACAAAAACCACTCATTTGGCCCATCGTTCTCTGTCTTAACTTCTTCTTCGAACCACCCACCGTTTATGTCTTCCGAGAGCGAAGAAGTTGACGAAGCCGACGACGTCAATCATCTGTCTCCGACGACCCTCATACCCGCTGATATTCCTTCCTCCACCATCGATCTACCCCCATCCTCCAATCCCGATTTTCCTCCCTTCATCGACAAAGACCCTATCGCCTCGCTTCATCCGATAAGTTGACCAACCCACGGCGAGCTTTGGTCGACTCTTCCCAAGCTTCTTTTCTGATGACGAATGCACAATCGAGCAATAGGAGACGCTTGGGTACCTCGTCATAGAATCCCTAATCACACTCACAGGTGGATTTCTGTTGTCGCTCGTGTGTCACGACAGGTGAGAAAACTTTCAAACTTTGTTATTGTGGTTGTTGATTGCGGGTGGAAGGTTCTTATAGATTGGTCTTTGTCTTCCTTTTTTGGTTGGTAGCGAGCTGTAAAGACAAGAAAGCGACACGACAGAAGAACTTCGATACCACTGGATTGAATCCTTTTGGCGAGTTTGCCCCCAAATCTGATGGTGAGTGGCTCGATCTACTAGGTAGAATTGTGATTGTCTGTGTTTTCAAAAACCCTAGAATTGGATACAGATGGCTAATTCATGGTAGGAAGCGTTTGGAGAGAATGATACGGAGTTTGTGGTGGATACAGACGCTTCCTTGGCTGCAGGAGATGGAGCTGAGGCCTCTATTGCTCGAAACATATACCACATTTACGACTCGGATGATGCAGATACATCTGACGACGAGTACCATGAAGCAAGGTCAAATCTGCGAGCTTATGGGGAGATGAAGGTCCATATTGATAGCCACTGGGGGAGGTCGAGCAGCTTGATGATTTTGAAGAAGAGGAATACGATGATGAAGATTCTGAAGATGAATATATGGTTGCTAATATTGAAGCTCTTGTTGCTTCTCAAGCTGAGGAAGGAGTCCAACCATGTGAGACCTAACCTATCGGACTCGGATGATGGGGACATATTCGATGATGCACCACATATGATTCAGGTTGTGATCACAAGGTTCTCCATTTTGTGCCTCGGATGAAGTTTGCTAGTCCAGAGGAATTCAAGGTCATTGTGGTCCACCATTCTGTAGCTGACGGGGCTTGTCTGAGATGGCTTAGGAGTAATCCATCAAGGAGGGAGGTTAGATGCAAGGAAAAGAACTTCAAATGGAGATTATATGTTAGTTGGTTCTGGCGGAATCAAAGTTTCATGGTGAGGAAGGCAGGTCTACCTCATTCTTGTGCAAGAAAACTTCGTGTCAACCAAGTAATTGTCCACTAGATTGCGAGTGACATGTTGGAAAGGTTTAGAATTAATCCTGAGTGGACTCCTGATCAAATTATGGTCGAGGTGAAGCTAAAACACAATGTGGAAGTGAATAGAAGAACATGTTATAGAGCCAAGGTCTGCTCTATCAAGATGCTGGGAAGTTCACTTGTAGAGGAGTACCACAAGGTAAGATCTTACTTGGGTGAGTTGGTGAAGCGAGATCGTCGAGGGACCTTCAAACTGGAAGTTGAACCGCACCCTACACAAGACAAGGTTTACTTTCAGCGAATGTATGTCTAATTCTCGAGCTTATGGGATGGTTTTCTTGAAGCATGTCGTCCAATGTTCGGATTGGACGAATTTTTTTGAAGGGAGGAGTTCAAGGCATCCTACTTACCGCTGTCGGGAAGGATAGCAACAACCAAATGTTCCCAATTTCTTGGCTGTCGTAGAGGGAGAAAACTCAAACTCCTGGAGATGGTTTGTCAACACCTTAGCTCAGGACTTGCACCCACATGACAGTAGGGGCTGGTATGTCATCTCATACTAACAAAAGGTATTACTTTATATACATTGAATAAGTGAATGGCTTAAGAGGTTGGTTATATTAATGTATGCATTACCTGGCAGAGGTTAGTAGAATCTATACATGAGTTGTTGTCTGAGGACGAGCATAGAAAGTGTGCAAGGCACGTGTATGCAAACTGGAAAGTGAGAAACAAGACCGATCGTGTTAGAAAACTATTGTGGAAGGTAGTATGCGCTTGCAATGAGGTGGAATGAAGAAAGGCCACCACTGAAATTGAAGAAATTGAAGGTCAGGAACAAGGTACCACACCATTTACAGATTTCATGAATGTAGAACCTCGATCGGTTTATCGAGATTACTTGTCTCCTCTACCCAAGTGTGATTCAGTTGAGTCGAATATTAGTGAAACTTGGAACAGGGTGATTCTCAAGTACATGTGTATGCAAATCATCGACATGTTAGAGGGGATTAGGGGGTACGTGATGGATAGGATTGTCGTGAAGTATAAGACATTGCAGGATACAACAGATCTGTTATGGATGCCCTAGGTTTATAAAAAGGGTAGAGAAAGACAAAGCTTTTGCTAGCTTATGCTCGGCAAAATAGACATTGAACGATAAATGTGAGGTCAAGATGGGGGGTGCAGGGTACCTTGTTGACTTAGAAGCAAGGTCTTGTACGTGTGGGTGGTGGTCACTTAGTGGCATTCCATGATGCCATGCCA